AAGGCAAGAAGTGACTGGCTTACAAGCTTTCAAGAAGGAACCTAGAGCCAGGGGGCCTGGAGGAAGGCAGAGTCTCCAGTGAGTAGTATCCAATCTATTTAGGCAGAGCTGATGAAATGAAATGCAGATGGGTCTCTTGTGATACAATAGTGAATAATTGTTATCAGGACTGATTGTTAGGGTTGGAAATGTAAAGGTAGACGTTTTATAGAAAGGAAGGGAGTGATTAACTTTCCAGTCTAGGAGCAGATCATGCTTGGTAAAGCTGATCATGCTTGGTAAAGCAGAGGATCAGCGAAAAAGAGGGAGACTCCTAGCACAATGGGTTGGCACAGTGGCCGTAGCAATTGACCAGAAAGTATTTCGTCTGTTGTGCATAGGTTTGCCATGAGTTGGATGAAGCCTGATAGCAACAATTTAAGAATATACCACATTTTATTTGTCCATATTAGCTGATGGACATTTGGGTTGTCTCCCATTTTGGCCATTGTGAATAATGTTGCTATGAACATTCACGGGTGTTTTTGGATAGACACACTTTTTTTTTCCTTCTAATGCTTTATTGTGAATTATGTGATAGTTTACATGGGAGAACATTAGTTTTACATTCATCCTATCATGTATTGTTTCATTGCCATGGTTACAATCCCTTCCATCCATCATCAACCAACCACAGGGTATACCCTGCAAGCCTGCCCCCTTGGTCGTCAGCACACAGTCCCTCTCCCTCTCTGGGTCTAAAGTGCCCAGCCACTCCATCTCTCCATGCCATTGTCTCTACCTCCATCTCTGGCATCACTGCTACTCTGGGTAGGGTCCCACACTCCGCTCTTTTCCCTTGATGGTCCCAGGGACTTTCCCTCCTTGCTACAAAATGTCTACCTATACATTTCTAACCCTCACATTCAGTCCTGATAACAATTATTCACTATTGCATCACAAGAGACCTATCCACATTTCCTTTCATCAGCCCTGCCCAGACAGACGGGATACTACTCAGTGGAGATTCTACCTTCTTCCATGCCCTCTGGATCTACACTCCCTCTTGAAAGCTTGTAAACCAGTCACTTCTTGCCTTTGTAGTCCTGCCCCCCCCATTTTGGGTAGTCAATGTCCAAGTTGCCCATCTCTGTCTACTCTGTGTATGGAGGGAGTGGGAATGATCCTCGCTGTATATAGATTTGGTCCCTCTTTTGAGCTACTGCATCCATAGGTGTAGGTCAAGTTCATCAAATTTTATCAGATTACTCTTTTTTTCCTCTTCTTTCTTCTTCTAGTTGAGCTCTGATCATCC